ATTCCGGTGAAAAGGTGCTAAGCTTTTGTCCGTCATATGACGGACATCATCAGAGCGAGGAAACATCATCGCAACAAAATTCAGGCTAACGAGTCAAGAAAGCCCACTGGCAAATCCTTAAAAAGTGGAATTAACCTCAACAATTATGAAATAAGAGATTCCTCGAAACCCAACTTTCCTTCGCAAAGCTCTTCCAGCCAGCCTTGGAAACAAAATGAAAGTTTAGCACCTTCTCACCAGAATTGAAGGAGATTGCCTCGGAAACAGCGTCAGCATGAATCTTCTAGTAAAGCCAATCGAAGTCGTCTTCTGGTGCAACCGACCTTCGAATCTCTTCACCCAACACCTACACTCGAAATGGAAGTAAACTCAACAATCAGCACTAACCACAAAAGCGCAAATACACGATGTCAAGAAAGGCGGCGGACGGTAATCATTTTCACCTCTGATAGTTAATTTTTCGATTAAACTTAACCGGCCCTATTAACATTTCATCCACACATTCCATTTATCTCTCCTAACTTAAGCAGGCGTCAAAAAACGCCAGGTTATTGAAGTAAAGAAACAAACTTACAATTTCTTGGTTTAGTGCATCGCTGATTTGAGAAAATGACTATATTGTCCGTGCACTACAGGCAATAGTTCACCTCGGACTAAAAGGGTTCGAAAAATATTGGATCAAGAACATATTCACACAATACAACATTCTTCACTCGAGAGAGGCCAATTCACTAATCCCATTCAACCTTTTTGTTTTAATGCGAAATTAACTTGGCCTCACTACCGATGCCAGTGACTTAAGACGCACGACCAGATTCCGCATCTGGTCTGGAACAGGCTAGTAACTTCGGTACAGCAGGTACACGAAAGCCGTCGTCCGGTAGACAGTGCTGAGTTAAATTGCATGGCATAATTGGGCCTCCTAAGCATTTTTGTGTGGAAAACTAACTTTTCAATCTTTCCATCATCTTAAACTAACCAAGCTGATTCAGAAGTGGGTTGACCTCGTTGTCGCAACTTGGTCTTGTTGTCAGAGCGACTTAGCAGACAGCACATAGTCCGAAGTCGTCTGCCATAGTAGTTGTCATGATTCACAGCATCAGACTGTGGACTTGGTACATTCTCAAACGTTTCGCCGGCATCGTAGTCGGTATCATCAGTGAGTTTTGCCATTCTCCTCACCAAGCTACGAACTCGTCAAAGAGACAAGTGAAGTCAATCCCTCGACATGCATTCTGCCGAAAACGGTTACACTCTCACTCCTATTTCTGTCCTGGCCTATCTATCTACTCTTTACCCTCTTATCCCACTTCCGCCCTATCACAACTTTTCACTTGTTTACATTCCACTCGTCAAAATGTGTGCCCTTTTGTGGCAAATCTAGTGTTGTCTCATCCCACCCGCTGTTCACTCCGACCCCTCTTTTTCTATCGAATGATCCGACTTGGGCCTCCAATCCGGATCCCCTCATTGTCTCGTAGATCCGTTCCTTCTCTTTCTGATTGACCGATTTCAATCGGTTCCTGTCCCTGTGTGCATTTTACAGTTACACTATGCCTCCTCTTGTCTCTTTGACAAGTTCGTAGCTTGGTTCGGAGAATGGTAAAACCCACTGATGATGCCGATGATGCTGGGAATCATGACAACAACTATGGCAGACGACTTTGGACTAGGTGCGTTCTACTAAGTCACCCTGACAACAAGACCAAGTTGCGACAACGAGGTCAACCCACTTTTATAAATCGAAAGGAGACTTCGACCATACCAGAGGCCACAACATCTTGGTCTTCATATCATCAAGCTGATTCAGGTTTATATTATTTATAGTGAAAAATACCTATTCATTGGAAGAATAAGTTATATTTGACAAAATATCCCTTGTGAAACTATCGACTATAATAAATTTATATATAAATATATATAATTTATTACTGTGTAATATTAATGTAATTATTATTATAATAGAATATTAGAATATATTAAATATTGTATAAAGATTCCTGTTCTGGAAACTTGATCACAACTTGATTGCGATGCCAGGACGATCCAAAATGACTGCCTCCGTCATATTAGACATGATTATTTCATACATCTGACCTTTGACTTGGCATTTCCCCAGACTCATCCTCGGCATAGTAACGCGCAGGGATGTCTGAATCGTCCCACCTATATTTAGACTAGCAAATGTAGACTGATAAAATAGTCAAACTGATTTCGCGGCTGGTTCTATTTCGAAGGTGACTAACATGACCACATCGCGACTCGCGTAACTCTTCCACATGACCAGGGTAGGAGTGGGACCCAAAGGTGTGACATTTTTGTACGTATCCCGACTAGTCTCCCTGCACACACACACACACTCATCCACACCATCCGAGCTGAGTGTGGTTTTGACTAGGCTCCCCGAGACATCTGCTGGCATGGGCCCCGCCCAAGGGGGCCCTGTGCATCGTGTGTCCGGTTGTTTTGAGCCAAATGTTTCGGGCTTGGCCTCGGCTTTTGCCTCAACTCATGTACAGTTTGGTTGGCGAGCCAAGTACTTCCTATCGGAAACCGCTGGTGCATGTGTTGGTGCTCTTGCCGGTCTGGGTACTTATCACGCCTGAGGTGTTTGCGCGCGTTTTGTGTGCCAAAAAGGGCAGGGCGTACTTTGGTCCATCGGCTTCATCTTGGGGTCATGACAGCAAATTGGGCTCGTCCACCATCTGTTAGGGGCCCTTATTTGCTTTATTCAATTGCCTGCTGTGCCCGTCTCTCTGTTGTCGGGATTCATTTCGCGGCTGCAGCAAGCGGATTATTGACACGGTACCACGTTGCACACATGCAGACGCCCAACGCTATCCGTCATGTTTACGAGACGGAAAATCCAACCATCCAATCTTCCATCCATCCAACCTTCCATTCATCCAACCATCTAATTATGCAACTACCCACTAGCCTTTGGTTCGAGTCTCACCATGACCGTTAATATGGTCGTTGAAACTGTTAACACTCGTTTACATGAATACGACAGACATTCACGTTAACAACGGGACTGTCTTGATTCGCAACGCATTGGCGGTGCAATTTGGATGTTCAACCGAAACAAGAAAACCGGCTAACAAAATATGCAAACTTTTAAGTTTTGAAACAGAAAGATTTCGTCGAGATTTGGTGGTGAATGGCGTCACGCTAAATTGATTAATGATGCCACAACTTTACGGCCTGAAAAACGAAACGATGAATGCTATATTTAGAAGAATTGAGTTTTGAATACTTCCATACCAAATTGATGCTGGCATATCTTTCAGCTCGATTGAAGAGGCCGATGGAAATTGTCTTCTCCAGAAGCCCAAAGTAGGTTGCATTGAAAGCATGACCGCAGATTTGCGCGAATAAGTATTTGACGTACCGTACCGTGACCGCAGTATGTTTATGCTGCGAATCATCTTTCATGTGACAGACATCATCAGAGCAGTACATCATGCTTCACGATAATTCACTAAGCTCGAATGCATTCCAGTCACTAGTTCAACTGAATTGGAAGATACGCCAGCAGTGAATAGGACTGCAAAAGTGGATTATGGTACATCTGTGTTTAAAAGAAAAATAAGAGAGGATATTGAAATTAATAGCTTAGAAAATACGTTGAAGGTGCGGAAGGGTGGTAGAAAGTTGAGTAGGAACTACTTTTGCTTGATTGATAGATTGAAAAAGAAAAGTGTGTTGAGCCACCGTCAAAAAGAGAGCTCACACTCGTCCAACATGTTAGAGTAAGCGCATCAACCATATCATACGTGCCAGATTACGCAACACCAGTCTTGCCTTTCCTTGGAGGGTTAAGCGTTAATGACCCTAGACTGAGAGGTTAGGATATATGTTTTCGTAACTTGATTTTCATACTTACAAGCTCATATCTCATCATCTCAGCCATACTTGTTTAAGTACCTACGCAGTCTCAGTTAAGGCTTTCTCTTGGGTCATTAGGTCTTTAGGATCAGAACCTGACATTTAAACTTGGACAACTCTGATTTAGGACCGGTATTGTATATAGACGCTAACACGCACACATGCACATACGCATAAAATCGAGCAAAAATAACAGGACCAGTATGAAAGAAAATTAACCAAATCAGTTTATATAGAGCTAGTTAGGTTTTCAATTTCCTTTTGGCTCAAAGCTAGAGCCGAATAATGTTCTTGGCATAGTGTTAATGTGAGACTTTTACAAGAATGACACCCAACTCTGATGATGTCCATCATATGATGGACGAAAGCTCAGCACGTTTTCACTCGAAACGAGGAAGGACTGCATCAACATGAATATTGTATAAAAGCCAAAATGCTGCAGTACAACGAGATTAATTCATACTCATCTGGTGAGATCGACCAACGAATCTCTTCTACATCAACTTTGATACGAAATGAAAGACCCCCTAAAAAAGTAACACCAATTCGATTTGGAAAAGAAGAAGTGGAGAGCTCAATTTATGCACTGAAATATCAGCTCACTATACTTCTCAATACTCGCTTTTGTTCCTTTCATTTTTTTCCAAGGCTAGCTGGAAGAGCTTTGCGAATAAAAGTTGGGTTTCGAGGAGTCACTTGTTTCATAATTGTTGAGCTTACTTCCGCTTTTTAGGGATTTGCAGGTGGGTTTTCTTGACTCGTTAGCTTGAATTTTGTTGTGATGATGTTACCTCGCTCGGATGAC